AAGGTAACACCCACAATTAGGGTGTCTTCCGGCTTTAGATGATCCAATCAAGAAGATCTCTTTCATTTCAGTGAATCTCAGATCCAATCAAGTTGACACCCAGGATTAGCCATCACATTACCATATAAAAATGTCCTTGTCTCTAGTAATGATTTTGTATTTAAGTCCATTTTCTTTATATCAATGTAACCACACAAATTTCTTACTGCTCTTGTGTAGATGCTCTATCATTTTTCATACTTTTTTCTTTTTGTATCTTTAAACCAAGTGTGTCTCTTTAGTTGGTCATATCTCATTTTTATGATTATATCCACTAATAAATCTCAATCTCTGTCTGTCTCTCTCATATGTATATGTGTATGCACAAGTATTCTCCCTTATGTGTGAAGGCCAGAGGTTGACCTCAGGTATCTTCCACTGGCCCCAGATTTTTTTTTTTTGAGAAAAGGTCTCTCATTGAACCTAGAACTTGCCTTTTCAGACTGGCTGGCCAATGAGCCCCCAGGATCCACCTATCTCCATCCCTTCCCAACATGAGTGCCGGGGATCCAAACTCAGGTCCTCATGCTTCAAAGCAAGCAGTTTATCCACCAAGCCATGTTCACAGCCCCTAAATCTCTGCCCCCTATCCCCCAAAACATGGTCTCACTATATAACCCTGGGTGGCCCAGAACTTACTATGTAGGCCAGGCTGGTCTTGAACTCACAGAAATCTGCTTGCCTCTTTCCCAAGTGCTGAGATCTAAAGGTCTGTGTAATGACACCTGGCCCCTAAACCTCTGCTTTTTATCCAACTTTAGTGAATGTTACTAGTGATACAGTTGTATTTATACCTACCATTTTACCTTCTGTGTTTTACATGTCTCAAAGTTTCCCATTGTTCTTTCACCCTTTTATAATTAAACTATTCTCTAACATTTAATTCTTTTAAAAATTATTATTATGTACGATGTGTGTGTGCATGTGTATGCATGTGCATGCTTGCCATGGTGCATGTGTAGACATCAAAGAACAACTTTACAGAGTTAGTTCTCTCCTATCTTTATGTCGGTTCGAAGGATTGAACTCAGGTCATCAGGCTTGCACTCTAATTGCTTTACCTGCTGAGCCATCTCACCAGCCCTAACATTTTAATTCTTTAATGACTGTTTTTCAATATATATTTTCAAATTAACTTCCTACTGCTTCCTCTGTATATGTATAGATCTCAAGTTCCCTAGCAATCAAAGAAATGCAAATGATGATATTGAATTTTTTAATCAATTAGATTGGAAATGATTTTTCAAAAGAACTACCAACTGCTAGTAAGGGGTGAGGAAATGTGCTCAACATTTTTAATCAAGATGATATCATTCTTTGTTTCATTTTTTTTTTTTGTTTTTGTTTTCGGTATTTTTGATACAGGGTCTCCCTGTAGCCCCAGCTGGCCTGGAACTCGCTAATGTAGACCAGGCTAGCCTCAAACTCACAAGAGATCTGCCTGCCTCTGCCTCCTGAGTGCTGGGATTAAAGGTATCTACTACCATGCCTGGCTTTGTTGTTTTGTTTTTTGAAATAGGATTTCATGTAGCCCAGACTGAACTCCTAGCCCAGTCTAGAACTCCTCTGTAGTTAAGGATGACCTTGAACTTCTGATTCCCATGCTTCCATCTTCCAAAGGCTGGGATCACACGTATATGCCACCGTGCCTTGTTTACCCAAATATAAAAAAAAAAAGTCTACCCCCTTTAACCTAGACATTCTAAATGTATATTCCATAGAAAAATAGTAGATGTCCAAACTATTCAGATATAACTATTAGAGGATATTTAGAGGAGCATTTCACAAAAATTTGGAGTGTATTGCAGTTAAGATTTAACCAAGTGGGGGCTGGAGAGATGGCTCAGCGGTTAAGAGCACTGACAGCTCTTGCAAAAGATCCAGGCTTAATTACCAGCACCCTACATGGCGGCTACGAACCGTCCTTAACTCCATTTCTGGGGGAATCTGATGTGCTCTTCTGAACTCCGCGGCCATGACATGGGTACAATCACATACATGCAGTCAATACACTCATACACATAAAATAAAAATAATAAATAAATATTAAAAAAAGATTTAATCAAATGTTAGGCACAGTAGTGTATGTCATTAGACCCAGCTATGTAGGAGAATAAGGCTGGAGGATGCCTTGAACCCAGGAGTCCTAAGTCTGCCTGGGCAATATAGCCAGATCCTGTCTCAAAAAATAAAAAAAGGATTAGTTTAGTGAAAATAATCTAAATGTAAAAATAAGACATAAAAGTATATACAAAAGGCCGGGCGTGGTGGTGCATGCCCGGGAGGCAGAAGCAGGTGGATCTCTCTGAGTTCAAGGCCAGCCTGGTCTACATAGTGAGTTCCAGGACAGCTGGGGCTACAGGGAGACCCTGTCTCAAAAAGACCCCAAAAAAGTATATATGAAAAAGACTATATAATATATATTATCTTTCAGTAGTTTTCTTTCTAGGTATGAGAATCACTGTCGTGTAGCAATTTCCTCAGATAAAACCTTCCATCTTAGAGAGAAGCTGCGTAAACAACAAAATGTTCTAGAGGAAGGTAAACAAATGGATGTTTTGAGGGGAGGTGAAACAGTCCATCCTGCAGGGTAGCTTGGTTAAGCTCAGGAAGTAAACAACTCAGTAGTTTCAGGAAGTCACTGAAATTGACCAGGTCCACTAGGCCTCACCATCCCTAAGCTTATATAAACCCTAAAAACTGTGCATGCTCTCAGACCTAGAACCCTGGAAGAAGCAGAGACCAGCTGAGTTCCCTGAGGTAAGGCTATACTGCCCAGAAGAGGTTCAGACCAACTGAAGTACCTGGAGAAGAAACTTTCCAACCTGTTGCTGCCTGTAGGTTGTGCTGTGAGCTCCAGATTTCCTGCTTTTATGAGCTGTCAACTATGTTGCAGTGGGCTTTGGATGCTGCTGCTGTCTATTCCTGTATGTAACCCCAGCAAAACTCACTGGTTCAGCAAGTTGGTATCCTATCCTAACTTTGGTCTGTCATTCCTTCTCTATCAGGGGTGAGCAGACATTTGTTCTTGTCTCTCCAGGAATAGTGTCACACAACAATCACTAATATAAAATATTTTTAAAAAGACTTGAGAGGTAGTTCAGTCAGTAAAGTGCATGCTATGCAAGCTTAAGGACCTCAGTTCAATTCCCAGGACTTATGTAAAAAGCCAGGTGTAGTGGCATGTGCTTGTAATTGTGGTGCTGATCTCTCCTGCTTGCTGGCCAGCTAGCCTAGCCTAATTGGCAAATCCCAGATCCAGGTGACAGACTCTATCTGAAAAAACAAACAGATGGCTCCTGAGTAATAATACCAGAGGCTGACCTCTAGCGCATGTGTATGCACACACATGCACCAGCACCTACATGTATATATACAAAAACATACATTTTGCTTATTCATGCTAAGTCATAAACCATAAATCAACTGTAATTGGAATGGCAGTTATTTAAAATGTAACTATCCTAAAATGCCTTATTTTTATTTCTATTTAAATGATTTATAAATATCATGCCATGCCAAACATTCAATATGTTTTTGAACTAATATGAAGATGGCGAAGTCTGCATCAATGAATGCATCACTTCCTTGGTATTGAGCACTAGCTTAGTGTAGGAAAGGGACACTATGTTATACAAGCAAGTGGTCAGAAGAACAGGATCTAGATCTTTGGCTTAACCAGGAGACAGTAGTAATAAGAAAGAATATGTAAATCCATACTGCAAATCAGGGCATGTTTGAGGGTGTCAAGGAGAGGGAGAGATGATTCTACCTGGAATATGTGGATATATGTGGATAATATCTTATATACTAGTCAGGTTTTGCTTTTTTTCCTTTTGATTTATGAGTATACGTGTGTTCACATGTATGTGGGTGAACATACATGTGTGTGAATGTGTGTGTTTGGGACTAGAGGTTGACATCAGGTGTCTTCCCCAACTGCTTGCCACTTTATTTATTGAGGTAGGGTCTCTTGTTGTGCCTACAGCTCACCAATTTACAAACCAGCCAGCCTGCCCCAAGGAACTCCTGTCTCCACTTCCTGAACACTGGGATTACAGGTGAGCCACCATACCTGCCTGGCTTTTATGTAGTTGCTGGGGATCCAAACTCCAGTCCTCAGCTTTCGTAGCAAGTACTTTATCCACTGAGCCATCTCCCCAGCCCCACAATTTGCTTTTCTTTCATTCTTCAATTTACTATAGGATCTCTGAATAAAAGAACTAAAGTTTACAGTATCTATTCCATAAACTGTATAAATACCTACTCATGTTGTCTTTCCCCTGGCCAGCGTACCTGTCACTTACCTTTGTGTAGATAACAGCACTTTTCCTTTCCTAGAGTGAGCTCTAGGGGGCAGAGACACTTTAACCCATCCTAGCATCTCTAGGTTGAGTCAGTTTACTAGGCTTACACATCATGGCTTAAAAAAAATATTTATTTTTATTATATGTGTGTGAGCATTTTGCCTGCATGTATATAAGTGCACCTGTGACATGCAATGCCCATGGAGGCTAGAAGAGGGCGTCAATCCTCTAGAACTGGAGTTAGGGATGGTTGTAAGCTACTATGAGGGTTCCAGGAACTGAACCTGGGTCCCTGCAAGAGCAGCCAGTGCTCTTAAACTGCTGAACCATCTCTCCAGCCCTACTTCATGACTCTTTCTTTTCTTCTTTTTTAAAAAATATTTTATTATTTTTATTTTATGTGTATGAGGGTATTGCCTGCACGTATGTGAGTGCACCTGTGTTGTGCAGTGCCGCAGAGGTCAGAAGAGGGTTTCAGATTCTCCTGGAACTGGAGTTAAGGATGGTTTGTAGCCGCCATGTGGGTGCTGGGGATCGAACCCGGGTCCTCTGCAAGAGCAGTCAGTGCTCTTAACCGCTGAGCCATCTCTCCAGCCCCTTCATGATTCTTTCAAACGCTGTGCATATGTTTATATATTGGCAACAATAACTTACCTAGTGGGGTTCCGTTTGTCTTCCTCAGAGATCAAAAACCAAACAAAATCTGCATAGCTCATTCTTCCTTCTTTCTGTACTGTTTTTCCTCTGAAGAAAACACATTGTTATAACATTTTCTGAGCAATTAAGAAACATCACTTTTTAGAAAGTTACTAAAATTAAAAAAAGATAGAAGCTGGGTGTGGTGGCACACGCTTTTAATTCCAGCACTCGGGAGGTAGAAACAGGCAGATTGCCGTGAGTTCGAGGCCAGCCTGGTTTACATAGTGAGTTCCAGGTCAGCTGAAGCTACAGGGAGACCCTGTCTCAAAAAGACAAAAAAAAAAAAAAAAAAAAAAAAAAAAAGATAGCAAAAAAAGATGGGTTCTTTATAAAGTTAGATGGCTCATAAAGCATAGCCTTTCTGGGGTTGTCATTTTTTCATAGGCCTACAAGGTGAAACTAGAAGACATCTGCTAACATGAAAAAAATCTTGTTGAAGTACCAGGGATTGAATTTAGGCCCTCACATATGGTAGGCAAGCACTCTACCACTAAGTTTAGCTCCATTTTTCTTTTTACTTTTCATTTTTAGGTAAGGTCTTATTAAATTGCCTGGGTTCGCTTTGAACTTACTCTGTGGCCCGGGAAGTGCTGAGTTTGTGGACCTACTGCCTCAGCTTACCAAGTATCTGGGATTAAAGGCCTGTATCATTAGGCCTAGCTCTGGTTTCTCATTTGATAATCAAGGGGTTCAAATATTGTTACTTATATTTAGATAGAGGACCAATATTTATATCAAGGAATTACTATCTTGTACTGAGCCATGAGTGTATGTTTTTAGATACAATATGGCTCAGGAGTACTGCCAAATTATACTGAAAGATGTGCCAAAATGAGAATGCTGCAATAGTATAGTTCATTTTGAAATCCAAGTTTTTTTAATTAATTTTTTTAGCTATCCTACCAAATAAAATTCATATTTTAAGCTTTTTCTTACCTTGTTACTGCCCCAGAGAATATCCTTTCTATAATTCTATTTGATGAAGCTAAATATAAATAAGAATTACAAAGTTAGTTAGAAATATTCTGTATTGGCAACATTTATGACAAATTTATTTTCATTTGTTAAAGCCAAACCTAAACCGTAAGTTTTCCATGATGAGTCCATCAATAATTTTTTTTTGAGGCAGAGTCTTAGGGTGATCTCTAACTTGCTATATAACCAATGATGACTCCTTGAAATTTTAATGCTCCTGCTTCCACCTCTGAGAGCTGGGATTACAGATGTATAACACCATACTTAGTTTATATCAAATCCAGGCCTTGTACATGCTAGGCAAGCACTCTACCAACTGAGCTACATCTCCAGCCCCTGAATTTTTAAAAAATTAAAATTTAAATTGATTCATTGAAAATTTCATATAATTATACAATGTATTTTGATCATATCCATCCGTTACCTCTTTCTCCCTCTAGTGCCCTCCTACCCTGTTTCCCTCCCAACTCTATGTCCTCCTTTTTTTCTGTTATTAACAGCCCCCTGAATCCAACTACTGTTTCCCACATGCACACGAGTGTGGAGCTATCCAGTGAGGCACAGGCACATTACTAGTGGCGAAGTCTGCAGAGGAGAGTGACTTTTATTCCCTCAGCAGCCATCAACTGCCCAGGGAGGACCTCAGGAGCCCCAATTCCATTCATCCTGGAATTTTGAATGTTCAGCCCCTAAATTCTTATTTATTATATATAAATATATATATATTCTTTAGAAGAATGAGGTAGGTTTAAATCTATCAATCACTAATTAAAAAAAAAGATCAGGCAAATGAATGTGCCTGAAATCTGCTTAGAGTTATTTATATAGTTGAGCTTTCTGAACATCCTGACAACTACAACAAAAAATATAGTTTGCTGGGTGTGGTGGCGCACACCTTTAATCCCAGCACTCAGAAGGCAAAGGCAGGCGGATTGAGTTCAAGGCCAGGATGGTCTACATAGTGAGTTCCAGGACAGCTGGAGCTACAGGGAGATCCTGTCTCCAAAAGACCCCCCCAAATATATATATATATATATATACACAGAGAGAGAGAGAGAGAGAAAGAGAGAGAGAGTTTATATTGATTTTGTTATCCAGTAAGACAAGAAATATTTTATCCTAGCATTGAATTCAAGGGGGGAATTGATTGTGCAGCTCCAGAAACAATATAAAATGAAGTAAAATAATGGAGAATGCTTTCAAGCAGTTTTAGAAAAGATACTGAGACATACCATAAACATATTTTTCTTACCTTCCCATTCTATAAGAATCCAAGATAAACCATTTTAAAGAAATTCCATCTGTAACTTTTATTTACAGACACAATTAATGCCTTTTGTTATTACTGGTTGCATTGGGGATTGAACCCAAGACCTCATACATGCTAGAAAAGTACCCTACCACTGAGCTACATCCCCAGCAACAATTAAATCTTAAGGCAGTATGTTGCTTTTTGATGATAGATCCTAGAAAGTTTATAGCAGTGTACCTCATTAAGGTTTCAAAATAGCCAAAGGCATTAGTTAAAAAAAAGACGAAGACTAAAAGAGATCTCTCTCTCTTTCTCTCTCTCTCTCTCTCTCTCTCTCTCACACACACACAGAGAGAGAGAAACACATACAGTGAGACAGAGGCAAGGGGAGGGGATGGGAAAGGAAAAAGGTCTAGGGATCTTGACCTCTTTCTTTTTAACAAGTATCCCAAGAAATGGCATGCACACTAAAATTTCAGAACTGCAAATCAAATGAGTTCACTAGAGAGGAGCTACTAACACCTACTCTGCTTGGAGTTAGGTACAGCCAACATAAAGACATGTGACTACACATGTCAAGGTAGCCATGCCTAACTATACATGAAAGATTAGACAGAGAGTCTCTATACTTTACTGAACGTTGGTTTAATGAATTAATACTTTGTACTAGATAGAAATGATGTAGAGAGCCATATACAAAAGGTAAAATACTTAATTCTAATATCTTTCCTAAAAAGACTGTTTTAGTTTTAGAAAATTCTCCCAAAACTGAAGACCATGATCTTAAGCAGAATTTGGTAGTGATAATTCTGTAGAGTTTAGTGTTTATTTTGTTTATGGAGGCCCAGATGCTTGCTTTACTGGACAGCATCCCATTAACATGGATGCAATCAGTATATACAATACTGGAGTCTTGAGGCAGTTTAAGTTGTATGAGCTAGAGAAGGAGCTTTAGAGCCCATAGGCTGTGTATAACCTCAGGGCTGGCGCATAAACAAGTGATTTGTTCATGGTTAACAGGAAGATGCAGAGCTAATAAGGCTGACCGGATACCTCTATGAACATATTAATCTTTATGTCATTTTCATGACAGGAGGATTATGATTACTTGAAGAAGGAAGACAATAATAGTACTAGCAAGTTTATCAAGTATATTTGAGCATTAGCCCATGATTCTTGCTAGGCATCTGAGAATTTGATTAAGAAAACACGGGTTTTTTTGCCCCCTGCCCAGATTGTATCTATATTGCCCAAGCTGGCTTCCAATTACTGGGATACAGCAATCCTGTTGCCTCAGCTTCTTCAGTAGCTGACACTACAGGCCTGGGCCACTGTGCCTGGCTCAAAAACTGTTTTCTTTCATGCGTAAAGCTCTGTGAAACTTGACATCACGTAAAATGGTCTTTATGGGCTAGGTCAATGGGAGAGCATCTGCTGAGCATGTATGAGGTCCTGGGTTCAGTCCCCAGTACTGCAAAATCAATCATTCAGTCACACAATCAATCATACAGTGAGGCTTGTCACATCCCATTAGTTAGAGATACACCAAACGACAGAAACAGATTTGTACTCTGCTACCTCTAAAATGACAAATTCTGATTTTAAAAAATGTGGAGAAGATATTTAAGAAAAAATAGGAACAACCTGTGCTGGATAGCTTTAGTATCAACTTGACACACCTGGGTTGAGCGAGCCTCAATTGGGGAATTACCTCTATTGGACTGGCCTGTGGCCATGTCTGAGGGGCATCTTCTTAAGTGATGTGGGAGGGCCCAGCCCACTGTGGGTGGTGCCACCTTTGGGCAGGTGGACCTGTGTTGCATAAGAAAGCAGGCTGAGCAGGGGCCGGGGGAGCAAGTCAGTAAGCAGTGATCCTCCATGGCCTGTGCTCCAGCTCCTGCCTCCAGGTTCCTGCCCTGAGTTTCTACCTTGGGCTCCCAGATGAACTGTGACCCAGGCTCCAGGTTCCTGCCCTGAGTTCCTTCCTACCTTGGGCTCCCTGATGAACTGTGACCCAAGAGATGTAAGCTGAATAAAGCCTTTCCTCCCCAAGTTGGTAGTGGTCAGAGTATTTTGTCACAGCAATGAAGAGACAAACTAGAACACAACCTAATAAGAAAAGAATGAAGCAATGTATCTTGGCACTTAGTTGAGAATATTACATATCAGGGGTAGTGAGATGGCTCAGTGGGTAAAGGCACTTGCCTCCAAGTTTGATGACCCAAGTTCAATCCCTGGAACCCACATGGTTGAAGGAGAGAACCAATTCCTTCAAGTTGTGATCTGACCTCCACATGTGTGCTATAACACACATGCACATACACATACACATACAGAGGCAAAATAAATAAATGTAAAGAAAAATAAAAAAGAATATTATGTCAGTAGGTAAAAATAAGCTCTAAATTTATTAAAAGGAAAACAAAACCTAAATCTAACAATGTGATATGAAATACTTTTTTTAAATCAACAACAACAGCAACAAGAAAACCACATGAGATTCACCTGCAGAGAAAATAGCTTTCTGGAATTAAATCCCCAAATAAGTTTTTATGAGTCCTTGAAAATAAAACCTGGCAAGATAGAAACATGCTTATTCTTAGGTTTGTATAGAAATGCTATTAAGTGAGAAACTTTAAGAAAGGTGCATGCATATTCTTTTTCAAACAGGCTTACACATGTGGCTCTTAATAATATACAATACTATTAGTAGTAGACTTCCCACTTCTACTACTGTGGCTGCTTACTTACCTCCAAACTCCTTCTTTCGTTTCTAAATTTAAAAAATCATCTTTGATCATTCCTACTTAAAGATTATTGGCCCTATAGAGACTTAATTAGTTATGGAATTTAAGAAATGAGAATTTCTCATAATAAGTGGGGATAATTTATATAAACTTTGAAAAGGTTAAGTCTTAACATCTATCGAATCACTCACCTTGGTCATTGTATCGAGACAGATCAGCCTGGCTGATGTATAAGTCATGATCACTATCTAGTTCCCAGAATTTACAATAAATAACATAAAAATGTTCATAGGAGAAGTAATCTGTGATTTGGTTTATATCTTCCTCTTCTTCCAAAAGTGCCAGAGTCTGAAATGTTATGAATAAAAGGATTAAATTTTAAATTATGAAAAACTAGCTTTGGCTATTATAGAATCTAGATCATTTTTGTTCATTAATTAAAAAAATTTACTTGTAGAACCAAACCAGGAATTTTTTTTTGGTCTTTTTGAAGCAGGGTCTCCCTGTAAGCCCCATCTGTCCTGGAACTCACTATGTAGACCAGGCTGGCCTTGAACTCACAAAGATCTGCCTGCCTCTGCCTCCCAAGTGCTGGGACTACAGGTGTGCACCACCATGCCCGGCCAAACCAGGAATTTTAAAATAAGCAACCCTCTATTACCTTTCATCAAATGATTTATCCATAAACATTTAATGAGCTCTGTGATATGTTTAGCAAAAGGTTAGCTGCTATGGAGGATATAAAAGGGATGGACCATCACCAAGGCGACTGTAGCCTGTCAGAGACATAGGTATGGAAAGATTAGGTGACAGGCTTAAGCTCATGGTCATAAACTAAGAGTAAAGTCTTTAACTTTTCAAAATTATGTTAGCAATATTAAGAAGAGTGGTAATCCACATATAGTGTTTGGCTTTGTAATGAAATCAAGTTTACCATAAATATTACTTATATTATGCAACTGTGGTAAAATATAGTTGCCTGGAACAGAAAGCATTGGTGGGTGGAGCTACAGGCTCTGAGCTAGATGTAAATTTGAGTTTTCTCTGACTCAATTTGTACCCCTAAGGGAACCACCAAAACAATGCTTTTTGTTTGTTTTATTTTGTACTGTTTTTGAGACAGGATCTCCCTGTAGTTCCAGCTGGCCTGGAACTCACTATGTAGATCAGACTGGCCTTGATCTCACAGAGATCCTTCTGCCTCTGACTCAGTGCTGGGATTAAAGGCGTGCGCCACCATGACTGGCTAGCAGTGGTTTTTGAATCCATAATTCTAATAGCTAGGCAAATTACCATTCAAGTGGATAGATGAATAAAACATTTTTGGGAATGAAAGAATCAGAAATAAATTTTTTAAAAATTAAAAGAACTTAGAAATGTAATTGCAGAAATTAAATATAAATGGGCTGAATCTCATTAAAATATTTTTGAGCAAACCTAAAAACCAACACAGGTGCGCTTACCTAATAAAATATTTTTGAGCAAACCTAAAAAAACAGATATGCTATCTATAAGAGGTATGCCTAAAGGGGCTGTTGAGATGGATCAGCAGGTAAGGGCGCTTTCCATCAAGCCTGATGATCTGAGTTTGATACCCAGGATCCACATTGTGGAAGGAGAGAACTGATTCCTGCAGGCTGTCTTTTGACCTTCAAACACATACACACACACACACACACACACACACACACACACACACACACATACACACGCATGTAATAAAAAATTTTAAAAACAGGTTATGTCCAAACTAAAAAGGCTAAAAAAGGACAAGCATGGACTTGTTAAGTGTTAATAAAAAGGAAAACATGCTTCAATATTAATTGGAAATAAAGTAGAACTCAAGTCAGAAAACATAAAGGACAAAGAGGACTATGTCATAATATAAATGTATTACTCTGATCAATTTTAAAAAATGTATACAGTGGGGTGTAGCTGGAGAGATGGCCTAGCAGTTAAGAACACTGGCTGTTCCTGTTGAGGACCCAGGTTTAATTCCAAGCATCCACATAGCAGCTTACAACTATCTGTAACTCTAGTTCTAGGGGATCTGACACCCTCTTCTGACCTCTGTGAGCACTGCACAACATGGGTACACTTACATACATACATACATGCAGGCAATACACTCATACACATAAATTAAAAAATAATAAATGAAATACTAAAAAATGTATACAATGGAAAATTTGGCAAAATGAAAACAGAATAAATCATTAAATTATTGTAAATATATTTAATGGAAGAGTATCAAGTGAGCAAAAACTACAGTCTTCATAACAACAAAAAACCCTTTGATGTACTAAGTGTAAAATATAGGATGCAAGCTCATAAACACAAGACCTTGCAGAATTTCAAAACCCATACATAGAGATGAGTAAGACTAGAACAGATGTAACATGACAGTAGTTGAGCAAAGGTGATAAAATGATTCTTCTGATTTCCAAATTTTACTGTAAATAATTCATTTTATGAAGTGCCCTTTAATGTGCATGATGCAGAATACTTCTAATAAAACAAATTATTAGAAAGAATGGGCTATCATTTTCAACTATTATCATTAAATGAAGAGAATTCCTACTATTGATGGGTGAAAGTATGATTGATTGATTGATTGATTGATTATTTTTTGGTCTTTTTGGTTCCTGTAGCCTCTGCTGGCCTGGAACTTGCTATGTAGACTAGGCTGGACTTGATCTCACAGTGATCCACGTACTTCTGCCTCCCGAGTGCAGTGCGGAAAGATATGAGCTACCATACCTGGCCCTAGATTTTGATCAATTCATTAATTTTTTTATGATACAAAATACTTCCAATAAAACAAATCATTAGAAGCTAAGAGCTATCATTTTCAATTACTGTTTGTCATAAAATGAAGATAAGAGATAACTCCTACTATTGAGAAATGAAAGTATGAATTGGATTTTTGGGGGGGGGGTCTTTTTGAGACAGGGTCTCCCTGTAGCCCTAGCTGTCCTGGAATTAGATTTTTTTAAAAAAATTTTATGTGTATGCATGTATTGCCTGCATGTAGGCAAGTGCACCCATGTCGTGCAATGCCTGTGGAGGTCAGAAGAGGCTGTCGGATCCCCTGGGACTGGAGTTACGGACAGTTGTCAGCTGCCATGTGGGTGCTGGGATTCGAACCCAGGTCTTCTGCAAGAACAACCAGTGTTCTTAACTGCTGAGCCATCTCTCCAGCCCCTGAATTAGATTTTTAAACAAGATAATCTAAAAGTATCTATCAAATTAAAATTGCATATACCATTTGGGCCAGGATTTTTCCTTCAGCAGTCTATTCTAGAATCTTATTCATAAACACTTAAGGGTCAAGGATGTTTATTACATCATTGTAATACAGAAAATATGAAAGTGGTCTAAACAACAATAGAGGTGTATGTAATTACAGTACAGCCATGCAGTCCATCATGTAGTATAGAAGAATGACAGAAATGATGGAAGTGGAAGGAATCCCAAGATACTGGGATTATGTTACATGAGAAAAAGCCCAACCAAATTGGTAGAGAGTAGTTGGTATGACCCTCATATACTTAAATTTTTTTTTCTTATTTTTATTTTATGTGTATGAGTGCATAGCCTGCATGTATATAAGTGCACCTGTGTTGTGCAATGCCTGCGGAGGTCGTAAGAGAGCCCCTGGAATTTGAGTTATTGACTACTCTTAGTCACCATGTGGGTGCTGGGAACTGAACCTGGGTCCTCTGCAAGAGCAGCCAGTGCTCTTAGCCACTGACCCATCTCTCCAGCACCCCATCCCCATATACTTTTAAAATACCCTCTAGATCCAGCAAGATGGCTCAGCAGGTAAAGGCGATTGCCGCCAAGCCTAATGACCTGAATATGATCACCAGGACTCACATGGTGGAAGGAGAGAACTGACTCCTATAGGTTGTCCTCTGACAACAGCACTTATGCACCATGCCCCACCCCTCAGATAAACAAGTAAATATAAATTTAGACTCCCTTTATATACAAGTCATACAAAACAAAATTATGTACTGTATATATAAAGCGAGACTACAGGTATACATGGGTTCCCTTCTCTGGGAAAAGGAAATGCTGGGTGAGAGAAACAGTGACTTTTGTCTGTTTATTACTCAAGATATGTTCATGATACAGGAATGTCTTGAGTTCATGGACTCAAAAGACTAAGGAGATGGGTATGGAAGAAAAGAAAAGTGGGGAAAAAGTCACACTGGGAGAGAACATTTGAGTTCTGCTTTCAGCTTTACAACTACTTGCTATGTGCTCAGATGCAGGTTACTTGACTGTAACTTTGGTCTTAAATTATATCAGTACAAAAAGAATTAATTAAAATAGTTATTTCAGAATTTGTTTTAACAGTAATGTGCTTTAAAAAGTAAGGGGTTATTGCCATTCTTGAGGTATTAAGGAAATTACTGACCTCTTAATCCATCCCTTAATACCTACTAGGAGCCCAGGCATCAGATTTTCAATAAATATCAATAAGGACTGTGATGATGATTGTTCATTTTAGCATAACAAAATATTTATATAGGCATCATGGACTGCTAATTTGCCAAACCTTCATTACCTTTTCTATCTCACACAAAGATAGGAAAAATAGAGTAATAAAGTACTGTTATTGATATAAGCTTCATTCAGTATGATTTATTTAAGATACTTATTGTTCTTTCAAGTGTGAACCATTCTTTTTTCCTCAATGTATATTTTTTGTTACTTTTGTGCATTCCATATAATACATCTTAATCATATTTTGATCCCCCCTCCCCCATCCAGACTCCTGTAGCCCCCCTCCACACCGAATTTATTTCATGCATTCTGTCATATATGTTAGGGCCTATTTAGTCATGTTTGGGTACCCAGATGTCCCTTGGTGTTGAGTTCATCCACTGGAGTCTAGTCAGCCTACATAAAGTCATTTCCTTAAAGAACAACTCTACCTCACCCAGCAGTAAACAGCTGCCAAAAGCTCCTCAGCTGAGTTTGGGGCCTCCTGCCCATTTGCCCAGTTCAGAAGTGTTGGTGGTATAGTGGTGAGCATAGCAGCCTTCCATTCTTCTTTCTTTACATTTATAGAAGCTTAAACAACCAGACATGAAGATTACCTTGGTAAAAGGCTCCCACTAGTGGTCAATACTTTTTCTCTTATTTGATAAATAAAATAATTGAATGGAATGTATTCTTTCTCACAAGGAATTTTTAGTACTTTTATCCACCAGTAGCAGCAAGGTACAGTCACTACTGAAAGACTCAAGTTCATATATTTCCATTTCTTTTGCAAGGTCCTTTCCAACCTGGTCACTTTCAGAAGAGCCTCTAAGCCATTTGATACTGTCTGGATT